TTGAAATATAATTATTATGTGTAATTTTGTACAATTAAAATTTTTCGGTGTGCAAGACTTTTGTCCAGGTAGTGTATTTGAATCTTAAAGCTAAATAATAGAATATTGAAAATTGCAATAACTCAGAAAAGTTATCCCCGACTAAAATTCTACAAATTCACAACCCAATAAAATACAGTAAATTTCACTTTAACGAAGCCCTTGGTTCCAGATTATAGAAATCAATTACGTAGTGATCTTTTCGGTATTAACAAGAAAGCTAAATAAAATCAAGCCAATGATTATTATTATACATGTAAAAAAAATAATAGTTTCACTAAATATTCACTTGCAAACTCCATATTAAAAACCATATAAGGATAATGCACGTTAGAGAAAATTTTTGTACAATAAGAACCGACTTTCAGAAATGCACAAGGTAATGATATGAGACTTTTGCAAGCTTCAAAGTGGTTAGTCGAAGATTTGATTTTTTAATATCTTGGCTGCTAGTTGGATAGAAATTGCTTAAACCGAGTTTCTTTTTGAAAAATTTTATGTTTTAATCCAAGACTACATATATTACTCCTAAATTTGTGCGTTCGTCAAAACAAAGCTTTGAATTTGATAATAACGAGTTTGATTGCTCGAAGAACATTAATACAGTCCCCGGCGAAAATAATGGCGGCAAGTTTTTTTATATTTCATTTAATGTATAGCAAAATTTTTAAAACAATTATTCTGAGTAGGACATTATGCCCCTAAAATATCAGTACTTGGTGTGTTCTCTTTCCGTGTCAATGCAAGTTCGAATATAATTTAATGTTTTAAAAATTTTGTAACTTGAACGTTTTTAACTTAAAAAACTAAAATTCGCAATAATTCGATCAATATCATTCTGATTAAAATGAAATTACTACCAAAATGTTTGTCTTATTGGAGCGAATATAATAAGACCAAAATTACAAAAATCTGATCACTAAACTGATTATCGAAAAAATAAGTTTTGAAAATTTTAAAAACCTGCAATCGGGAAAATGATGTGCTCCTATTAGATTTTCGCAAATTCATCACACATTTTAATTGTTATTATCTTGCTAGAAATCTAGCAATATTATTTATATATTTTGCTTATATAAAAATGTTAGTATTGTAGTAAAATTTATATAACAATCTCACCGCCATTACTTTCGCCGGTGACTGTAGTTCTTTTTATACTCGTATCAACATGAAATCAAATTAAATAGCGAATTTCTCAATAAATTATGAGAAGAGCTCTCCAATTGACATAGATAGCAACTACGTAAGATTTTAAATCACACTTACAAAAGTAACCTATCCCCTCCATAAATTTAAAGTTTCTATATCGGGTATCGGTATTGTATGTATATTCATAAACTTTATTTCATAATACACATCTCAATATCCAATAATTCTTAACGTCTAGGCGAATCGAATGGTGGTATTTTGTTCAAATCGGATCACTGGACGTCGAAATATCGTGTCTTAAAGTAGCAGGTTCATTTTTTTTGACATTAACAAAAATGAATCAACCAATTTAGGACGTGATATCTCGATCTCCAGTGATCTGATTCAAACAAAATAATACCCATTCGATTCATCTTGACTAGACAAATCGAATGGTACATGTATATATATATATATATATATTATTTTTGTTCGAATTGGATCACTGGAGATCGAGATATTACATCCTAAATTGTACATGTATTTGGGGCATGAATATTTATGAAGTGTCAATGATCAGCATTTGTAATGTAATGTACATTATCGTTATGCATGATCTGGGTAGGTTACTACCGCTACGAACTGTAGAAACCTAAATCGTGATTTTATTCAATCGACGCCTCCTTTGGATTTAAATTGTTAGTTTGCTTGTTTGCTTTTTTTTGCTGTTTGTCGTTATTTAGGGAAAGTATACTCACTAACTTTAAATTCTGATTGATTTGACCCTCAACGCGCCCTTTCTAATCCTTTATATTTGTTTGCTAATAATAAATAGTAACGTAACATTACACAATGTTCCACATTCAACGCTATCGCTATGCTGGCAGTCACAATTCTAATCACAGAAATTAGATCAAGTCAACAAACCTGCAGCAATGCTATTGTCAAGTGCTCTTTTATCGGAAAAGCTGGTCTTAATGTTTCTTGAATCGTGTTGTTGATTTTATGTCAAAAAGAAGAAAGGAACTAATTACGTATATGCTTTTTCTTTTATTTTATTTGATACGTCTTATACTTTTATGCTTAAAAATTCAGTATCTCCTACCGGTTCTGAGTTTTGAAATCGGTCGATTTCATTGGAAATCTAGTACGACTAAGAAATCAATCTCTTTGATTTATTTATAACAAAAACTATAAACTATACATTTACGTTTAATGAAAAAGTATAATATTTAAATAATGCCAGTAATATTTATTATGCAATAGAGGTATAAATTTCAATTTTAATCTGTGATTGTTGTTTCAGCTTCCGGATCTTGGTCTTCTTCCTCTAAAAGATTTTTATCTTTGGAAACAGGGTACGGGCCTTCATACGCTTCAACACTGACACCATCACTTTGAGTATAAACTCTGATTCCTAATTTTAGATCCCACTTCAATTCATCAGGATTTTTTTCGTCGTCATCATGATAACCATCATCATTAGCATCAACACCGACAGAAAGCTTGGATGCAAATTTATCTTTTTTCATGGCCAATTTTGCGGAATACACTATTTGAGTTGGACTTTCCGTAGTTTCAGTAGTAACAGTAGTAGATTCGGGATTCACATTTTCGTCTTCAGTTTGGTCGAGATCAACTTGGCCGGGTAGATCTTGGGCAGGTTGAGTTTCGTTGGGTTGCTTGGAGATTTCTGCGTATGGATTGGGAAAAGCTTCGATTCGTGGGATAATTTCGTAGCTTCCGGCTTCAAGTTCTATTTCGAGGTTTATGTTACGCTCACATGGATCTAAGGTTTTAGTGTAAGGGCTTCGAATTAGATAAGTCGAGCTTCCCTCTTCGACAACTCTAAAGGCGAGTTGGTATCTGTATAAAGTTTGTGAGAGCAAATTTCAATTTAATTATTACGATAAATTGTGCTTTTTGAAGAAAAATACATACAAATATGCCGGCGGTTCATGGAGATATCGTCTATCCGGTTGTTGAAGAACAATAATAACCTTTGCCTTCTTTGACAATTTCAAGTTAAACCGTCCATCCGATTTCGGCTCAACATTATAATTAATCCACGTGGAGTAAACATTCCAACTATCATCGAAAATTCTGCATTTAAAAAGATAATTAAAGAAATCCAAGAAATCTGCATAAGAGATCCAAAAAATGCCGTCATCGCCAAAGCGATGTTTCAGTGTCGCCATAGACTCCGGAGTCCAAGTTTCACTGCCATCACTCCAGGCACCCGACCATTCTACATTTCCCCACGGGTTTCGCACTTTTACCAGTTTTACGCCTTGGTATTCTGTTGCGTCTAAAACACTGTATGCATGTCCGTCTATTATGCCGCTTGCGTCTCCAAGTCCGGCTCGGCCACAGCCAAACAATACCGTTTTGTTTACATTGAGAAAATCTTCTCGCCACAATCGATCGATATCTAATAATTCACTTGTTGCGTAAAGCGTAGACACACCGCCAGTAAAGTCCTCGAGAGCTTTTGTCGAGTTTCAGTAAATATTTTAGTTGAACTGTTTCTAATTAAAGATAAAACAATAACAATAACAATGTCAAAAACATACCATCCGACACGGAGCCGCCATCAATACTTTCGTAGTCTCCATGAATTTTGGCATATGCTTTTTCAAGTAATGGTAACCAAGTTTCATTTGGATCTTTGCATTGGCTAAAAATTAGATAATAAATTAATATTTTCTATTTTTAAAAAACAAAAAAATCCAAAGACTCACGCGACAGCAATAACCGAAGAACCTCCGATAGTTGAAACAAATAACTGGTCGTCGACAACTGTCGAAACCCAATCGCCATCCTAAGAATTATATAAATAAATATATTACTACGAATTTTTATTTATTATGCTAAAGCGAGAGCCCGTAATTAAAAAGTATGAAGTTCAGATACCTTGAAAAAGATAAATCCGTATACCTATTATTATTGTTAAAAGCAAAATAGTTAATATCATATGGAGTTATATCTTGAAAAAATTGCCTTTTCACTTTACCCCAACTTGTTCGTCACGTGCAACACAAATAGTTTCGATGACACCTTTAATATTTGTACACGTGGACACCGCAGACAAAAACCAGCAATCTCCAATCTTTGGAAGAAAACATGAAATTTAAAAATGCATATATCGATGTCAGTTAAAATGCATATTTACTGTTACTGTAATAAAAAATTAACACACGCACAATTCCTTGTCGAACATCTCCAGGGCTAACACCATCAGCATAAAATTTTGGCTCTTTATAAAGCTTATTTACTCTCTTGGTGTCATTAACCCCACTATAGTCTACTTCATGAAGATTATAAAGACAAGGTTCAAAGTCCGAAACGTCAAATTCCCGATCAAGAAACTTTATATTCAATCGACGACATTCTTTCGCAATCTATTTGGAAAATAACAATAGTAAAAAAAGGCATTTATTTAATCAAATGTATTAGTGCATAACGATTATGTTACCAAAACGAGTTGTCTATTTAAAGAAATTACATGTAATTCGGTTTCTTTTTACCCTTTTAACTTTTTCTTTAGTAGTATTGATCGCTTTATGTAAATTCAAAGTAGCTGAAATTCCATGCGGGACTTTTAATGTCAATCTTTCGATTTGTTGTTCATTTCGTAGGCGACGAAGTGTTTTTTTTGCAGCCGAAGTTTGCACTTGATTGGCTTCTTTGGCTTTTTGTTGCTGATTTTCTTCTTTGGGTTTACTATTACGTTTTTTATTTCCCTTGGGCATTGTTATTCGTAAAGTGGAATTAGAGATTTTATTTAATTGCAGAGAGTAAGGGAACAAGGATGATGTTGAAAAAACGATTTCATCTTGCCACCTTTTTATTGTAGTGAAACATGAAACATGGATGTTCAACCTGTAGATCATAATAGGAATTAGCATAGACAATAAAAATAGATCTACCTGTGAAACAATCGTTAATGACAATAAACGAGGGAAAAATTGAGTTAGAAAAACAACTTTCGGTTTTTTTTTGCAAAAAGTGTGGTATTAAAAATTCTAAAGCTTGCTGGATTGATATTTCAGAATTTGATAGATTATAAATCTATTTCGATTGTATGTGTATGCTGATTCTTTACACGGGTAATAACAACATTAGGCAGGATTGCATATTGTAGAAATTTTTTCATTATTTTGAAAACGAGCATTTTTATGAGTTTATCTAAAATTTTAGCAAGTTTTGATAGATGCTAATGATACTTTGATAAATGTGTTTGCATGCTATTTATTATTCTGAAAATAAATTCTTTGACAAACTAATATTAAAAACTGGTTAATCAAAAATTATAAATCCCGTTAAACTGAAGTGATCAGAATTATTATTCAGTAAATTCGGTTTATGGAGGTAAGTTTGCTATATTTATTGAGGCGGGTTTTACTATAGTTATTCCTGGAAAAAAATTTAGTTTATGCAGGTTTTAATTAGTATTCGATTTAGCGGGGGGGGTTTGCAAAAACTCGTTTCTTAACACATTTAATAAAGAATTTGACCTCCTCTCGAAAATGTCCTTCAGATACAAACCTACAATTTTGCTCATTTTATTCTGTAATTTACAAATCAATTGAATATACATTTTCCATATTTTATACATTTTTTACTATATAAAACATTTTCATTAAGATATATAGATTGAATCTAAAATTTTTACGAATACAAATAACGATAATTACGAGAACCAATAAAAACACCAATATTATAACTAGTTTTCATCGAAAAAAACCATATCGATATCGGTATCCAAGAAATTATAATTGTCGATCAACATTGGTAAGTTTTGCCAAATTATATCGATATCGATATCGATATCCATTGGTAACGGTAATTGCTGGAATGGGAGTGCACTTCGATCTACTGCGCTAAGACCATTTGGAGAACTCTCGATTAAGATTCGTTGATTTTCGAGGTGGTTTTTTAATGTGTTATATAAATCTTTGAACGGTTTTTTGGTTTCTTCATTTAATTGATCCCAAATCTTAGAAGCCAGTTTAGAACATCCGTTCCGATCGAGCAACTTATGGAGAAGACATCCTGAATTGGTGCATTTCCAAGTCGTTTGGCGTGACCTATTTAAAGCCCACCGGAAGATCAAAAAGCAGTTTGAGATCTTCGTTTTTAATGGAACTCTTTGTTTATATTCCATGAACGTCGGAATATTAATGTACAAAAAATGCGCACATTTTTGGTTTGATACGTCGACGATAAGCACTTTCGAGTGGTCGTCAAATATAGCGAGTATAGAGTTTTTACCTGACATGATAAGGAAAGTCTGTCAGATAAGTAAAGAGAGAGTGTAATTTTTTAGCTCTTTTTATAATAAAAATTTTTACCATCAGTGCCACAGTGAATTTATACATTATCTATTAATCTATACAAAATGATCTTGTATGCTACTTTAGAAATGAGAAAGCAAATATAACAATACATTCGAAAATGAAATCATAATGAATTGAGTACAGCCCAGGTTGTTTATTTTCTGTTCTTTTATTTTTTGTATTACTTATGTTCTTTTATTTTTTGTATTGCATACGTTCTTTTATTACAAATGTAAAATTATAGTTGCATTACTTCGTAAGTTAAATATGTTTCAAGTTTCATATTTATCAAAATGCAATGCTATTACCGTTGCGTAACATTTATAAAAAGCATTTTACAGTCCTTTCATGCTGACGTGCAGATCCTATTGTAAACGATATTACATGTACAATATTCAATATATCGATATCATCATCATTGGCTAAAATTAATGATTGTGTTCGAAACTTTATTGTTTATTTAGATCGATGGAATTAAGAATGGTGAATTTAGAATTTTAAAATTTTTTACCAAACCTTGCTTATGTGAAATTTTTTTGGATAATAAACTAAAAAAATTTTTGAAGGCTTATTTGTTTAAATTAAAGTTGCAGGTTTATTATTAATGACGATATTTATACATTCTCTACATTCGTAAATTATATATGGTAATATAAAAAAGGATTTTATACATGAGCCAAGATAACTATAGGATGTTGTGAATGCAAATTTCAAGTTTGTCAAGATGGAATGTTATTAATTTTCATTATCGACAAAAATATTAAAATAATGAGAGTCGTCAAAGTTTTATGGAGATACCTTAGCCATGGCGAAAAAATTTATCGGGTCACGTAGCAACCAATAAGAATGCGTAAATTTTTGATCAGCCCGGCAAAACAAATCCGACACAAGAATCTAACTTGGTACACTAATAAAAAATGTCGGGAAGCAATTTTACATACAACTTGACTCTAGCCCTTTAAAGTAACCTTTAACAATAACATCTCTATTGCCGTAGAATTTTTTCGGACAACACAAATATCACGTGGCCCGAGAATTTTTTCGCCACGGCTAGGGTACTAGTTTTATGGTTGATGATGTAATGATCGACAGAAATTAAAATCATGAAGTTTAGAATTTTAGAATTTCCATGTCAAAACTCCTTTTTGGATAATTACATGTACAATAAAGCTTGTTTACTTAATCTGTAACTATTTACTGACATTTTATTCTTGATCCTATATTGATTGCGGGCGAAACAAAAAATTTTTATGAATGAGCCATAACAACTATGAAATTTCGTGATTCTTGAGAACACAAATTACAAGTTTATAATATATGTTCGTTATCACGATGTAGTATTATTAATTTTCGAAGCTTTACTATCGATAAAACTTATTGAAATAATGAGTAATCGAGTTTTATTATGATGATGTAATGGGGCCAATTATTTAGATCGACAGAGATTAAGAATGAATTTTAAAAAATAAAATTTTTTGCTTTAATTAAGCCTATGTAAAATAAATCTTGTTTGTTGGTTATTAATGATGAAATATTTATAACATTCTCGTAAGTTATACGTATATGCTCATTGATGAATGAACCAAAGCAACTTCTTTATTTCGTAAGTTATATATGCTAATTGATAAAAAAAGAAATTTATGAATGAGCCAAACAACTATGAGATTTAGTGAATACAAATTTCAATTTGGTCTATTAATTTTCGGAACTTTATTATCGGCAAAAATATTAAAATAATAATAATGAATGAGTCATCAAAGTTTTGTGCATATCCATTAGGTGGCTCGGTGATGCAACCATAACAAGTACCAAAATGCTGATTATAGAGCTAGAGTTAGGGTTAGAGGAAAAGTAAAACTATATGTAAATTGTCTCCCCGACATTTTTTTATTAGTACTCCAAGTTAGATTTGAACATCCATTTTCTGTATTTTTCGCATTTTTCGCATTTCTTGCATTTTTATTCTCTTGTGTTGGATTGTTTTTCCGGGATAATCAAAAATATGTACATTCTTATTGTTCTGTGCCACTTATAGATCACGTTCTTATTGGCTTGCGCCACTGAGCCTGACAAAATGGATGTGGTAATGATCGTTATGTACAAACAATAACTTAATTTGTAATTATTTATTGACCTTTTATAGATTGGCTGTGGGCGAGCCATAACATTTTGTGGTTCTTGATTATTAATTTTCGAAAATTTATTAATGAATTTTTAAAATAAAATTTTTTGCTTTAGTTACGCCTATGTAAAATAAGACTTATTTGTTTAAATTAAAGTTGTATAGTTATTAATGATGAAATATTTATAACATTCTTTTTATTTCGTATCAAAGCAACTATGATTCCTGCTTGATTGAGATATAAATCTTAAGTTTGTATGGTCGTTATCAAGATGCAATTTCGAAACTTTATTATAGTCATCAAGGTTATATTAATGATGATGTAATGGTTGATAGAAATTAAGAATGATGAAATTTAGAATTTTAGAATTTCTATGTAAAATTCCTTTTTGAATACGCGATAAACTAGAAAAGTTACACCTATGTAAGGCTTGTTTACTTAATTTGTAACTATTTATTCTTGATCATAGATTAACTGCGGGCGAAATAAAAAAATTTTTATGAATGAGCCATCTATGAAATTTTGTGATCTTAGGTTCTTGAGAAATTTCAAGTTTGTATAATCGTCATCACGATGGCATATTATTATTAATTCTCGAAGCTTTATTATCGATAAAGCTTATTGAACTAATGAGTTATCGAGTTTTATTGATGATGAAGAGTTAAGAATGAATTTTAAAAATAAAATTTCTTGCTTTAATTACGCCTATGTAAAATAAGGCTTGTTCGTTTAGTTACGTAAAGCTGTATGGTTATTAATGATGAAATATTTATAACATTCTCTTTTATTTCGTAAGTTATACGTATATGCTCATTGATGAATGAGCCAAAGCAACTTCTTTATTTCGTAAGTTATATGCTAATTGATAAAAAAGAATTTTATGAATGAGCCAAAACAACTATGAAATTTCGTGAATACAAATTTCAATTTGGTCCATTAATTTTCGGAACTTTATTATCGGCAAAATATTAAATAATAAAAGGTGTATGCATATCAATTAGGTTCGGTGGCTCGGTGATGCAACCATCACAATTACCCAAATGCTGCTTATTAGAACTAGAGTTAGGGTTAGGGTTAGAGGAATATGCAAAATCGTCCCCGATAATTTTATTCACTCACCGGACTAGCACTTCCCGGTGTTTGATTACCAATTCACAGACGAGATGGTTATTTTAATTTTTTAATTGTTCGATTTCTTTTCTCGCTAACCTAATTCTTTCTGATGGTTAGATTTGAACATCAATTTTCTGTATCTCGCATTTTGTGTTTCCGGGTTGAGCAAAAATTTGTGCATCCTTATTGATTTGTGTCACCTATAAATCACGTTCTTATTGGCTTGCGCCACCGAACCGAACCTGACACATACAATGGATGTGGTAATGATCGATAGAAATTACATGTAAAATGAATTTCTATAATTATGCCTATAGGGGAGTACTATTTATCAGGTGATTTCTTTAATACATGTATAGAGCACCACAACCATACCTGATATGTTTATAATTATGTTGATCAAAATGAACCTGATACATGTAATTTGATTGACCCACCCGCCAAAAAATCATCTGATAAATGGCACCTCCCTAACCTAATTTGTAACTATTTATTGACCTTTTATAGATTGGCTGTGAGCGAAATAAAAAATGTTTATGAAAGAGCCATAACATTTTATGGTTCTTGATTTTGAGAATACAAATTTCAAGTTTATATGGTCGTTATTACGATATAATATTATTAATTTTTTTTGCTTTAGTTACGCCTATGTAAATAAGGTTTGTTTAAATTAAAGTTATATAGTTATTATTAATGATGAAATATTTATAACATTCTTTTTATTTCGTATATGCTTATAGATGAATGAGCCAAAGCAACTATGATTCTTGATTGATATAAATTTCAAGTTTGTATGATCGTTATCGAGTTGTAATTTCGAAACTTTATTATAGTCATCAAAGTTATATTGATAATGGTGTAATGATTGATAGAAATTAAGAATGATGGAATTTAGAATTTTAGAATTTCTATGTAAAATTCCTTTTTGAATACGTGATAAACTAGAAAAGTTACACCTATGTAAGGCTTGTTTACTTAATTTATAACCTTTTATTCTTGATCATAGATTAACTGCGGGCGAAATAAAAAATTTATGAATGAGCTACCTATAAAATTTTGTGATCCTTGAGTCTTGGGAAATTTCAAGTTTGTATAATCGTTATCACGATAGAATATTATTAATTCTCGAAACTTTATTATCGATAAAGCTTATTGAACTAATGAGTTATCGAGTTTTATTGATGATGAAGAGTTAAGAATGAATTTTAAAAATAATAAGCGTAATTTTTCTAGATTATTATTCGAAAAGGAAGTTTAAAATTCTAAATTTCATGATTCTTAATTCTGTCGATCATTGCATCAATAAAACTTAGATCACTAATTGTTCGCACCATCAATATTAATATAACCTTGATGATTATAATGAAGTTTCGAAATTACATCTCGATAACGACCATACAAACTTAAAATTTAGATCTCAATCAAGAATCATAGTTTCTTTGGCTCATTCATCTATAAGCATATACGAAATAAAAGAGAATGTTATAAATATTTCATCATTAATAATAACCATACAAGTTTAATTTAAACAGATAAGCCTCATTTTACATAGGCGTAATTAAAGCAAGAAATTTTATTATGTACAATAAAGCTTGTTTGCTTGATGTGTAATTATTTAGTGATGATAAATCACTTTATTCTTGATCATAGGTGATGGCGGGTGAAGCTATCCGATGATTTCCAAAACTAGTAATTCGAAACCTCCGACCGAAACACCACATAAATGAATATTTTGGCATTTTAACGATCAGAATTTATGTCATAACTTGGTATTACGTGTCTAATAATAGTTTGTACATGTACTTGTGGATACTTGGAAATTTTATTAATTTGAAATCGGCCATTTTTTAAATTTTATTTTTGCGTCTATGAAAAGGGGGTTTATTTGATTCATAATAGCGATAACGGCAACGTGTTAATTTTTTTGTTTTACATGCACTACTTACTCTGTGAGATTGAATTTGAATTCTTTGTATAACGATAACCTTTTTTGTCAAGTATCACCAAATACGTACATGTACCACTGTTACATGAACGTGTATATCGAGTAGGGTATATCGGAGACTTTAATTAGTCGAATATCCGACAGATTGAGTTGCATTGTGTAACCGTAACATAACAATTCCCGAATTCGTAATTTTATTATTCACATACCGATACTGTTAATCAAAATTACGATTGCCAAAATCCGAACTTCTTAAAATACTTAAATCTTAATAACTTAAAACTTAACGTCAGAATTCAAGGTCAAAATCCATCGATTTATGTATAGTTATTGCTATGGATAGTAAAATTTTATCATTTAACACATTTTACTCGATCTAATTATAACACCCAATTTTGAATTATATAATTTTCTTTAGTGCGCTGAATGTCTCGGGTCAATCCAGAGAACCGGACCGAAAGTTCGGTTAAGTTTCGGATTGAAGCCGAAAAATTAAACTATATACATGCAAAATGCATAAAATTTCCACAGAATGTGTAAATTCACATTCTGAGCAATTTTACTTAAGACGTTAAACCCAATTTGGATCTGAAACCGACCCAAACTGAACCGTTCGGAGCACTAAATTTCTTATACTATCCAAGCTAAATGTTTAATGTCATGTTGTTCGGGAGAGAATAATGTTTCAGATATGTCAATGATTTAAAGTACTCTTTAATAAATAAATATTATATAGTATAAAAACAAGTGAATTAGAAACATTGATAATTAAAAAGTTTACGCGTCCATCATTAAGAATTCGATCTTATTGAATTACTTGATTTAAAGCTTGAGATCGACTTTTTTCTCAAATTCTTTATCGAATTTTTAATGTAGGGTCCTGTCAGTAAAAAACCAAGCAAATTATGTAATATAAGGTAAAAGAGGGTATTTTGGCGAAGTAAAGAAAATATACATGTATTTCGATATCCAGCGATCGGAATCACATGAAAATACCACCATTTGATTCGCTTAGACATGACGAATCAAATGGTGGCATTTTCATGTGATTCCGATCGCTGGATATCGAAATACATGTATATTTTCTTTACTTCGTCAAAATACCCCACCCCTCCCAAAATTAGCAGCACACAAAATGATCATTTTTTTCTTTTATTACTTGTCACATCATTGCAATTTTTGCTAGACTTATACAGAACCGAGTTGACTTTTTAGCCATAATAAATATATTAATATTTATACTCTCTGTAAAAAGTTTTCCTAATCACGATTTTAACTTCGCCATAATACCTCCTTTTACCCTAAATATATATGTACTGACGGTCCTCCATATAATTCTTCTTTCGGGCATAGAGTGTGATTTAGCAATGCGATAATTTTCAGAAAACAATTTTATTTCTAAAATAAAAAATTAACAAATACTTTAAAAGCAAATTTGGAAAAGTCGAATATGGCTTTCAAAATTCACTTTAATTACGAACTCGTACTTACATAGATAACTTCTTCATCCATGAGTTTTGGTCCAATCAAACCTAATCTAATATCCACAGCATGGTTGATTAGATAGTCTTCAATTATGTAGAAAACAAACCTGTTTTTAATAGATAATCAAAATTACGTGGACCAAGTTTTTTTATATTGCGATTCCAATTTTCACTGCTTGGCCAGTTTAATTCATCATTAGAACTCATAATAGCCGAACTGGTAAATATTTTCATTGAATTCACTAACCCATGTTCAATTTACATAATAAAATTTGAGATATTGCATCTCAAAGTTTTTCATGCATATAATATCAAAATAAAACTTGAATTAGGATTTTGTTAATATACTTTATTTCTATTACTGCTGCTCATGTTTTATATAATCTTTAAAATGGTTTAATATTCCATCTTTATATTGCTCAATATATACAAGTTAGTTAATTAACATACAGCTATTCTATTGCCACCTTAATTCCATATGTCTGCCTTCTTATAGATGTGGTTCACGGTGTACGTAGTTCGCATCTTTATACAGCTACTTGAAGTATAATTTTTTGTTTTTCAACCACATTGTTTCTTCAATAAAGCTTTATTTACCTGATTGTTCCTTACTGGCTCACAGTACATTGTTATGCTGACTTGATAAAATAAGTAAATATTATAGATACGTGATGATAACACGAAATTTTTAAACGCTGGTTTTATAAAACCACCAAATATTAAATTTCTGTAAAGTTGTACTCTAAAAACTTAAGTTAAATAATATAAAATATCAGGCACCTCATTTCAATGGTTTAAAAGAAATTATATTCAAATTTGCAAAAATACCAATATTTTCAATGACACGTGCTAATTACCAACAAAATCTTAGCAAGTCAAACGCTTATTTACATGGATTCATAAAAGTGTCATCATATTCGTAAGATGGAGAAAACTTTTATTATTCGCAGCCGCATTTTAATAGAATTTTGATGCAAACCCATCATTTTCAATTTGTTTCTTTTGATTCATACAAGTAAAAAGCATTACATAGCCATACCTGTTGTCGCTGGCGAGAAATGTCAGCAGGATTCAGTAATTATATGATATCAAATTTGAGAATATATTTCATTATTTTCTATATTTTTCAATGTTCCTTTGACCGATTTCGTTAAAAATAACGATGACCTTTTGTTAAAGTTATTACTGAAAATGCACTGGCTTTACTCTTAAAGATCGGATTTAATATCAATCTGTCTATTATTTATAACGCTTACCGTAATTCGCCTTGCAAAATACCCGGATCTCTTACCAACCACTCGCGTTTGACTGTTAGTGTACCCCCAGGTACATTGTATTGGGGAGGGTTTACTATTTGGGGGTCTTGTGTAAAGGGGATACACTAAACGGTAACATATGTGACACAAATCACTTATGAAAGTTATTATGTGTTCCAAGAAATCGGTAATTTTACTACGTAATCAATGGGACTAATTTGGTAGGATTATAAAAAATTAGTTAATAAAAAATTTATTTTGGTTTGTACCTGGGTTTGATACAAACTACGTACTTATTCAATAGATATTTTATCTTATACCCAGGCCAGGTTTTGTACAAACCACCTACAAAATATTCTTGTAATGTACCAAGGGGTATACTATCGCGGGATATTTCGCAAGGCGAATTACGGTAATATTTCGGTGGGAATATAATAAGCATGTCGAGTTACCAATGAACTGATTAATTAATCAAACCGTATTTATGCAATCAGTTCCACATGGCAAAGCATGCAAAGCAAATACAAATTCAAGTTTCTATGATCATTGTTGTCAAATATTTGTTTTCTTTTCATTTAGCGCAAGATTTTTTACCCATTTTAGACAAAATAAGTAATATTGCGTGTTTTGGTTTTTACTTTCCTGTACAATAAAAGGACGTAAATAAATAAACTGATCAAATTACAGCAAGAACAATAGTTTTCACATGGACTTAAAATTAATGAATTTAGAAATTTTGTCATCTTATTTCTAAACAAGGAAAACAAAATCAGAATTAGTATCGGTATGGTCCAATTTTTTTAATTGCTTATTTGCTTAATCCAATGATTAAGATCTACACTCGTGGCATTCTCATTGTTCCGAAAATCACCATAAATGGAATATTGAAACATTGTACAATCTTGTATGCTTTAATAAATAAAAATTCGCGTAATTGGTGCGGCCGAAATTTTTATAACTCGCGCCTATGTACGTATCGGCAAATCAGAAAAGAACAATTGATTAATTGAATTACATTATTGATACTTTATAGACGCTTCAAGTGGATTCTATCGTTATAAAAAGGCAAATCGACACTACCAAAGAAAAGTTACATTTGTAGCAATACTAACAAGGATAATAAAAGAAAACAAAAAGAAATATTCAATATACTTTAATTAAAATACATGCACATACCAAGAAAATGTTTAATCTAAAGAAAAAATCAATAATAATACTTGGGATAACGATTCTGCTTTCCGGTATAAATTTATTATCAGTAGAGTGTGCTGTCCTTGAAAAACGAAGATTCAGCGGAAAAGCAACTTTCTATAATCCGGATATAGGCTCATGCGGACAGAAAAATTCCGACACAGATTTTATATGCGCGTTAAACAAACCACAATGGGGTAATCCATCAAATCCAAATGCTAATCCGTTTTGCGGGAAGAAACTTATTGTTTATGGACCATTGGGATCGGTCATTGTGACAGTACAAGATAGTTGTCCTCATTGTGGTTTTGGAGATTTGGATTTAACTCCGGTCGCTTTTAATAAAATTGGTGATCCTAATGCTGGTTTTGTTTCAATGACATGGGATTGGATAGATGGAAGCGGTGGTGGTGGTAGTGTTCCTTCTGCAACCCCAACGAGTTCATCATCATCCCCATCATTTCCTTCTCCAACTTTATCCGTGGAAACCACCCAGCCAATAAAAAATCAACCATTATCTGTAGAATCAGAAAAGAATTACGTTAGAACCGCTCTGTCATTCTTAGATGGAATAGTCGTATAAACCTTCCTTCCTCTTGGAAAAACTTTTAAATCAAAATCTCCAGGATTAGCTGAAGTTAAAATTAAAGCTCTTGATCTAAATGACTTAATTACAACTACAACAGTTGCAACAACACCCACAACTGAAATAAAGCATAAAAGAGTGACAAGAAAGATAATCATCATTCTAAACAAAATTTCTAAAGCACACGCGAATTTTATTTTATTTTTTCTTTTCTTTAATAACCTATTAAATAGCGAGAATATTACGTATAGACATTAAAAATCACAACTTCGATTATCATTTGTAAAATATAATGTAAAAATTTAGATATTTCAGATCATTTTAGTAAACATAGAATTGATTTACACACACACGAATGAAAATTTTATAAAGGTATGACTCTTTTTAACACTACACACACACACACACACACACACACACACACACACACACACACACACACACACACACACACACACACACACACACA